TGCTACAAATATCTCTAAATAAATTATTTCAAAAACTATTATTTTTTATTATTATAATTTTAGTTGCTACCAAACAAAAACAGAAATGCTTCTGAATCTATAGTCAAGAATTTACCTCAAGAACCAGACATTTTCAAACTAAAGACCTTCGGAGAAGAGCTGCAGAAAATAAAGCTAATATGGTGCTTCATATCTCCAAGAAAAAAATCAAACACTTTCTGGCAGATTTCTGAAAACTCTATGTTCGAGATAAAAATATCCTCAGCTTAGAGACTAAAATAGAGCTGAACACTTCCAAGACACAGACCATGAGTCGATTTTCAGATAAAGCAGGAGGAAGGAAGGAGGAAGTATCAAATTAAAATCAGTGAGATGCTGAGTCGGGCCTCCTGTGATGTTGATGTGAGCGGATTAGACCACCTGCTTAACTCAACGCACCACACCAACCTCAAGAGTCTGTTGAGTTGGGAATTAATGAGCCACAGCTAGTTTTATTTTCACTGTTTTTGGAAACTCTAAACTGAGAGGTTAAGACCAAAACATCAATGTATGTTTATGAATAATTCCAATGTTTTATAATTGTTACAAAACAGTCTTTTTTTTGAAAATATAATAAGCTACAAAACTCTCTTATTAAAGAGAGATCAGTGTTCAGTGTGTATTTGGTTGTTCTATGCAACCTCTGCACCATAATTCATACTTTATAAAACCCATTCTAGGCTGAGGTCAAGCTGCTGTATGAACTCTAAGCCAAACACAACAGAGAAACAGGAGCCCACAAGAAAGTCATAATCTGCTTTTCAAGCAAACCCAGTGAACTCCCACTGAAAAGAGAGAGGACACTAAATGATTATTTTTCTAAATTTAAAACATCCCCTCTCACTTTTCAGTCATGTCCATTTTCCTCCTAAACACAAGGCTGTAACACTAAGTGGGCCATGTAGCTTCAGCCACACCTTGTTCATGTTCTCCCAAATAAACAATCAGAAAAAATGTTTTACAACCATTTTTAAACTGGATTTCTGTAGGATTTGATAAACATTAATTTGTACATTTTCAGAAAGGCTAAATTTAAGATGAAGCTTGACACCTAGTATGGAACTTCTAGAGGTGTGATGGTTTTAAAGGTTTTGTTTCTCTAGTGGCTGTTTATTCCAGAGCAGAGCGAGAAAGGGAAGAGATGCAACAGATGGCGAGGAGCCTGGGACCTAACTGATGAATGGACTGAAGACTATAGCTTCTGCATATGGAGCATCTGCTCTACCACTGAACCTTGTGGCTTCCCTGGAACTTTTAACATGTATAAAATTCAGAAATTTAGAACCCTGGCAAACTTAAGCACTGACATTGTGAAAAATGACATCCCATAATGTCAATCAGGCATAATGCCTTTTTGTCCATCAATATTACTTTAAAACATTCATATATACTGGTGCGGATCCTGGACTACTACATCAGGAATATAATAAATCAAATACTTTTAGTCTTTTTTTGGTTATTGTTTTGTGAAACATTTTGTGCAAATTGGAGACTGCAATTTCTACGTAGCTTTACAATTATTTATTTATTTTAAAAGTGAATCAATCTCAGTTCTAGTTCTTGTTTACTCTTGTCAAACAGACTCATAATTGCTGAATAACTTCACAAACTTCAAGCTAACACATGCAAAACATGTCACTTCCAACGCCACTCTTGCATTAACTGGATGAGGAAACAGCTGATGACGGAGAGGACATGATAACCAGAGAGCTGCGGGTTTTTACCGGCATCATCCTGATAAGTGAGCAGAATAGGAACTCCTCAGTTCCTACTGCCAAACATACTCTGCAAACTAAGCTAAAAACTGGTTCCTATTCTAAACAAATTAATGCATCAACCAAAATGGTGCGTTGTTCAAAGAAAGGAACACTTCAACTCCACACAGTCTTGTCAAAAGTCACCACCTTGGTTTAAACACTGCTGAGTAGCATAAAAAAAAAAAAAGAAATTGCATAAACCCTGTCAGTTCTACTACACTGCTGTATCATAGTTTTTTAAGGAATAACAGTAGCTTAACAATATTCCTAGGGTGAAATACTTTGAACCTATAAGTGTCTTCTGTTTGGTTATGTTAACTTCTAATACTGAATGCTTTTATAAATAAAGGTTAAGGAATATCGAACAAAGGAGGCTGACTTCTTTTGCTTAAAATTACAAAGACACTTTTGTAGTGATCATAGCAAGGTTCCTAAGCCAGTTCAAGCAGAGGACTGTGAAAGTATTCCCGTTTGAAATGAGAAATTGACAAATTCTGAAGCTCTTCTTTATGTGACAAAAGAAGACAATTATAATTTCTGCAAATCTGAGCTGCTCATTGAGAGACATTTGCATTCCTAGGAGGCTCAAAAGTGGGAGCTAGAGTTATGTTGGTATTTGTCAGTTAGTCAATATTAAACTCTTGTGACCATGTGGCAAAGGCACCAGACAGGTCAGCAGAACCAAACCCACATGTACACACAGGCAGCAAACAATACAGATTAACAGCTACATTCACACACTAACTCAGTTGTTAACCTTCTGATCATGCTAATAAGCTGGTTGCACAACATTTATATTAACAGAAGTAGTATTTGGCTAACAGCAGTGTAGCCCTTCCAGGGTTATCTGGTGAAAAGATGAAACATCAACTACTAGGCCAACTACAAATAACAGAGTAATAACTAGCTAGGGGTGGCTCAGTTTGGTTAATAAATGTGACTACAACTATTTGAGTGGATGAAGGTTGTTTATCAGCTTATAAACTTAACTTTGGAACATTTCATCTGGATTGTTAGCACCTTCATATATGTCAATGTAGAGAGCAATAATCTGAGCACAGCTAGTCTGCCACATGTTAAATGTGAAGGAAGCTACAGCAGCAAATACAATCTCTTTTTCACTGTGACATCACTGAAAACAATAAAAAACAAATATCTACAGTACATGCACTGTAAATATGAACATTTAAACAGGTCAACATTTTTAAAAATTGGACTTTCAAAATGAAGTTGCATGGAAACATATGTACAAAATATGTAAATATGTCTAATTCAGATACCTGAACTAATGTGCCTAACAAAAGTTCAGTTGTAAGAGCTAAAACAGTTGAGTCTGAGAGGGAGCAGTGGCAAAGCCCCAATGCTGCTAGAAAATATAATCCAGTTGAAGCACATGCAGGATTCCGATAACCTTTCTGTCCCAATCCAAAGCAATGAAAAATGATACAGCAAAAAATAAAAAGTTACCTGCAGTATAGCAACACATAAGATCTGAAGTGACAAAATAATTATTCTGATGGTAGTCAACAACACACCTGAGTCAAATAAATGGGTGGTGAGAATGTGCATCTATGCTGAGGAAATGATTACATCTCATAATTCAAGTTTGTTGGAGCAAAGACTTGTCTAAAACAAGACTGGCTCTCAAGCACAGAATTTGTCAACCTCTGAAAGTTTGTGGAATTGTTTAATGGTGTGGTTTGTAAAACTCTGGTAGTTAGAAGCATGAGTGACATAAACAGCATTTAAAAAGTGTAACAAAAAAAAAAAAGTCCCAACAGGGATTCAAAACCAGCAGAGATGACCAACTTTAACCCACTACATAAATAAACAGCACCTGCTGGACCCATTTTCTGCCACAAAACCAGATATGTGCTCTTACGTCTGACATGCATCACATTTCACAGTCAAGTTTCAAATTACAGAGCAAATGAATGAATTCTCTTAAACCAGCGTGGATTAAGGCAGCTAGAAAAAGATCCAAATAGAGCTAGCTGATTAAACTGGATTAAAGGGCTTCTGATAGCAGCAAGCCCTGAGATTTAAGACCAAGATCATAGCAAGGTTCCTAAGCCAGTTCAAGCAGAGGACTGTGAAAGTATTCCCGTTTGAAATGAGAAATTGACAAATTCTGAAGCTCTTCTTTATGTGACAAAAGAAGACAATTATAATTATTGGCTCGTTTAAATTCAGTCTATTTTCACTAATCAGCGAATAGTCTGAAAATAAATTAAAACATTAACAGCAGCTCATGGCTGGTAGAAAAAGACCAAAGGAACAGTGATTTAAATCAATGAATGAGACAACTGAGCAATTATAAATGCATCAGATGATTTGAACTACAATATAATATACAAAGGTGTAATATAGAAAAATAATGAAAATTTTCTTTGGTGAGTAAGTGAATACAACATACTCACCAAGAGTCTGTGGATGGGCATTTAGCAACTGATATCTGACCATAACACCATATCTAAGCATAACATCAGGCTAACGCTTAGAAAGATTTAAAAAAATTCATAGATACGCCATGTGTTTAAGCTGTTATTATTAGCTTTACCTGCGAGGGTGATTCCTCATCTGCACTTTCTCCTTGTTCTCCATGTTGCCTCCTCCAGTTCCCTCGGACTCTTCTGATTCAGGTCTGGAGTCAAACTTGAACCGAGCTGGTCAACGTCAAGTAGATGCTAGCAGTAGCAGGTCGCCGTCTGCTAGTCTGCTAGCAACGGCAGCTAACGCGCCGTTTCACAGCAGCGTCCCGGGTGACGATCCTCCCGCTGCTGCTCGGTTGCCGTTAAAAACGCCGCATTTCTTTACCATTCTGTAAGACTGGGTTCACACGATAAAAACGTTTAGTCAGGTTGTGGTATCCTCCCCGCTCGGTACATCCTTTCCCTATGCCTAGGCAACTTTAGACTTGTTTGGCAGCCGCTCTAACATCCACCTGAGAAAACCAGGAAGTGCAGAGAGGAGTGGACAGGAAGGCGAAGGCGGCGCAAACAAAGAGTGCAATGCAGAGTTTCAACAGCAGGGGGCAACAATTACACACAAAACATTTACATTTAGACCTCCAGATTCGCTGCAAGATTTCTCATGTATAGTACATTTGTGTACTACATACTACATGATAAATACTTAATCTTGGCAGCACTTTAATCTGCGAAAATATTTTGTTTTTCAATGAAGTAAAGCACAGAGAAACCATTTCATTAATAGAATAGTTTATTTTGAGGAACAAACAGCAGAACAGTGTTCATATGTAATCAGTAAGCATCAAAGGGAAAACTTCAGGCCAGGAATGAATGACAGGACGGTGAAGCTGGAAAAAGAATATGCACAACTATTAGATACAGCTAGTTTCAATTATGAGAATTTTGTACCAGCATTAAACATATTGTAGTACAAAGCATTTCTTTTCAATATTAAGACTCACCTATGTATTACTTTCCAGAAGGACGCACACTCTCGAAGATCCCCGCTTCTCTCATGGCGTTGAACTCTTTCACAGCATCGTACTGCTTGTAGAAATTAGCATATGCCCTCTTCCTGGGCTCAGTCACTGCAAACTGGAGTAAACAGAGAATTTAACATTTTTTCTATTTAATCTAATCTGGAAAATAAACCCTGAGAACTGGAAGGTAAAGCGCAGGATTTAGGCTAAACATCTGTAAAAAAAAAGACATTTGTTGGGCATAAAATACAATGCACAATTTAATTCAACATGTAAGACCTAAACTTCTACATTAATATTTTACAGAGCAAAGACATGCAAAATAACTTTAATAAATGTTTTGCAAGTTGTAACATTTGCTTTTGTAGCAAGTCTAATTTTGAGATTTAAAGCTACAAAGTCAATGGACATAAAACTGTAACAGACAATGTGTCCAATACAAAGGTTCCATCAAACTGCTCCCTGCCGAGCCTAAAGAAAAAGATCACATTGCAAACTTGTACTGCTACCACTCAACTGCAAGTCCCATGGACACAAATAATGAGTTTTATGTTCATAGTAAATCTACAAACTTTTCCCCATATCAAAGGGTTAATAAGCCACTTAAATAAGACAATGACAGTAGAAAGGTCTCATAAAAAAGAAAACTGCACATTTTAAGAAAATGTTAATATTTTTTTGGCTATAGACATATTATATCTAATGATTTGCAATTAAAGATGTTTACAAATTTAAGTAATTGATGCTGATTATTCCCACTCCGTTTCTAAAAATTATTTGTATGGCTAAAACAGACACATTCTCACGACCATAAAGCATTCCCAGTTTCTGAGCTTATTTTTTTAAATGAATGAAAATTTGCTTTTAGTTTTAAAACATGAAACAACTGTTACTATGTTTAGCAAATGTTAACTCATAAATGAATGCTTTATAAACCTTTTGAGTTTACATGCTCTTATGACTGCAGGAAAACAAACATTTTGGTTTGGTTTCTGTGTAGGGTTTGAACTCACCACATATATATTATATATATATATAGATATTTTAAGATGCTTTGATGCTTTTAAGAGATGCTGTATGTGCATATATAGAACATTTTGAATTGTTCTTCTTATAGTTTGTATTACAGTACTAGTCAAAGTTGGGTTGTACATGTCCCCTGTTCTTACCTTGTATGCTATAGCTACTGATATTGCAACTCCAAACGCAACAGGCAGATGGAACCTGAGGCGCTTGGCCAACATGCCCCTCATCATCGGCTTTGGCAGCGACATGTTTAACCAGCTGGAGGAAAGAAAAAAAAACAAACACAAAAAGTAACATGTTAACTTTACAAACCGACAGAGTATGCCTCTTCTTCTCATTATATGGTTCATATAAATACAGATTTAGAAAAAATCATCTGATATTTTATAGGCACACATACACACAAAACTCCGGATGGTAATGTTTAGGTATTGATAGAAACAGTAATGTCACAAACTACTTGGAATGCGCTCCTCGTAATTCATGGTTTAGTAATTTACTTATGCAACTGAATATTGACCTTGGATGAGAAATTATCTTTATAAAAACGAAGTGATTATCAAATATGTTAACTTTAGGCAGATCGCCATTATGCACTGTTGCAGTGTCAGGTCAGCACTCTTTATACGTCAACTGACATCTGGAATGCCGTCTTTAAACTACAAATTAATATAATATTCAACAAGTATACTGAGAAAATTACTCAAAATAAAAAGTATGCAACCGCTACAATGAAATTATTTAAAAATATAGTGAAACTCATCAGATCTGACTGAGACGTTGAGTCGCCTAAACAATTGCTTGCGGAGAAACAACAACTTTGCCCACTATAATCAATCCAAGCCCATGTTATTAGGGAATGTCTACTTGATATGCATGTATAAACATTAAGTAAGCAAATTAACAGTGTTGTTTTATTTTCAACGCACTTTTTGGTTAGCACTTAGCTGACGGAAGATAAGCTAACGATAGCTAGGTCAAAATAAGCTAACGGCTAACTCAACCGCGTCAAGGAGGAAAGAGCAGCTCAATTAAATTAAAGCCTGAACAATCTTTACGTTTGGCCTCGTTGTTAAGAGCAATTTGGTAGAAACTCCGAACAAAGAAAAGCATTTAATAGACACATTTTTGAGATACTCACAGTTAGTCAGTCGACCTTCAGAGAAACCGCTAACACACCAGAGTGGCGTTTTACTCTATCAGGAAGTCTCTACCGGTGCCGCGAGAGAACAGAAAGCAGCAAAGTTAAAAGGTAAAGTGAGCTACTAGTATGTCAAATATTCAATAAAATATTATTTGAAAGCTTTTTTATGGCCAGGTAAATATATATATTGCAGATTGGGCCATTTATTTTTATTTTTATTTTTTTATTTTTGCCTTTTAATCTTTTTATTTTTTTATGATTTGTCTTTATAAAGCTATATTTTGGTGACCGTCATTAAAGGTGCAATAAACATATAATTAACTTATTTACCTAATTTCTTGCTTATTCACTACATACTTCACAATATAATTCTCTAGGGACTTTATTAACATTAACCCATTTACCGATCTCCACAAGCTGGAGGTCGGTAAAAAAGGTTTGTGATACAAAGTTTGAACCAAAAGAGGGCACTCTCAAACTGTTGAAGTATTGATCGTAAACAAAGGCCAAATCTAATACATGCAGTTACTTTCCTAAAACATTATTTTGTGTTTAAAATCGACGTGTTTGAATTTCCCCTGGTGTTCTTGTTTTAATCCATTAAAACCTATAGTTTAAACCCGATATATTTTACGCAGTTAAACAAAATACAACTTGATTTTAAATCAGACTAAGCTTCCTGTCTTATGTCACTTCGGATTAAAAATAGGTATTAATAATTGCTCAGATCTGGAATAATGTGTGAGATACATATATTTTTATCATGGTACTTTTTTCAACCTTAATAGTTGTTAGAGTTATGTTTTAAACAGAATGGTCAATCATAGTAATTATTCCATAGCCTTGTCTTAATTGTTTGCTGCAATGCTGGCAGGCTCCTTCAAACAGACCGTGGTTAACCAAGTGTGAGTTGTAGGTAAACTTTCATGCTCTGGCAAACTTGACAGTATAGAGATCAAAGCATTGTTGTCTTTTGTGAAACACAGAGTTTCCTTTATGTCTTATTTGAACTATATACAAGTATGTAGTTCAAAGACATACTTAAACCTATAATTAAAACATGACAATGATGCCAGTTATATGAAGTTCTGAAGCTCCGTAATTAATGCTGTTTTTAAAGTCAGCTATTACGGTACTTATATTATCTTTTCACTGTTTCCTTTTACATGGTTTTGCAACCTTTCATTTAGATCTCTTATCAAGTCTTCTGCACTCTTGACTTCTGTACTCTTGGTTAGCTGTCAGCTACAAACAGACATGGAGAAATGTCATATCCACTGATGAATGACGATAACCATTTTCCTCATAGCTGGGATTCTCACTTGGGACAAATACTGCACATTTTGGGTTGGTTATGAAAATATGATTCAGCTACAATTTAGTTATTTTGCAGATGTTTTTATTGAAATCAACTCAAGCATGGAAATTATGCAACCTAAAAGGGGATTATCATTTTGCCAAGAGGCATATTGAATCGCCTCTCTTTCAACTAATGTCGATCAATCTTTTATTAACTTTCCATTGCTCCAGAGTAAAGTGGCCCTTTTTGGCACTTAGATTTGTCCTCTTAACAAACTGACTGAACATTTTTATGAGGCTTTATGAAACCAAAATAAAATATTCCTATTTGAGCCACAAATTCTTTTTAGGTCCATTACATTTTAGAACTGGGAACCAGAAGGAGCACCACTTCAAGAAAACATCCAGTTTTCTTGAAGTACTCATTAGAAACAGTTGGTTGTGGAGGACGTGGTTAGCGGGACATGTGAAGGAGACACCAATGAGCATAGAGGGCCTCAAACCGAGGAAGGAATCCCCAAAATTGTTTTTTTTTTTTGGCTCATGTTTCTGCAGCTGTATTAATAATGTCTTCACAGACATTTAAAAATAATGTTTTGATATCTACAGGAATTCACAGTATTCCCTCTTTGCAAAGGAAAGTGGAGAGTCTAATTGATGTATGAGAAGAGACTGATGTTTTAAAAGGTGTTCATCCCAAAACTTACATCATGGGTCAAAATGTCCTGTCCTATTTCTGTTTCTGTTGTGTGTGGTAATCCTTTATTTTGGCTTCAACCTTTTAGTTTCATCGAGTTTTAAAAATGATAATGCATGCTTACTGAAAATTGACTGCAATGAACTGATAAGTTTTACACTAATGATCTGTGAGGTATTTGCTTCACTTTATAATCCTTGAACCCCAAACTCATGAGGTGTACAGATTAAAGGAGCAAAATCCCATCTCTACTGAAGAATTAATAAAACCAGTGCACTGAATAGAATAAATATGTTCTTCAACTTGTTTATTTTCTGAATGAGTGCCATGAAAGATTAATTCAGAGGCCATAATAAAATGCAGACTTCAGCAAGAAACAAGAAAATGTCCAGATTGTTTGGATTAGGAAAATAATCAAAGCAACATTTATTTCCTTCAAGATCTGGATGCCATCAAATCCCAACATCTGTCATTTATTTGTTCTTTTCTCATTTCATTGTCCAGATTTTCTACCCAACATAAAACAAGAGAAGAAAAAGATCGATTTGGATTTCGGTTGTGTTTGCATTTAGTTAATTAGTTCCTTCCTTCTATCAATGTCCAGTAAGTGTTGCCATATCACTTGATAATTGCATTAAAAAAACAGTGTGCGTGCCTTTATTTTCTGAACAATAGTGAAAACCATAATACTCAGCATTTTTACAGCTGCAAGACTTACATTAAACCGCCCCTTAATTACTGATCAAGTTTCCATTCATTTATAACATGTCTGTATGTCCTTTTCTTTGCAGGAACTGTACACAATGATCAAAGTTTGAGATGCACTAACATTTGTCCATCAGTGTGTTTTTGGCATCTCAGAAGCAGCTCTCATTTTTGTTTGAGTCTTAAGAGCAGCAACACACTTCCCGTTTAGTCCTGCCGATTTTCATTTGGCTCTATTTCCAGGGCAATAAGAGCCAGCCACCTTCTGAAAGAAACCAGAGCACATAATGAGAACATCTTTGAAGAATCACTTCCTTCTGCTGGATGATCATCCGTTGCATCCTCCTAAAGTTATGGCATCAGATCTGCTTGATCCACATGAGCTTCTCCTCTCCCCACATTGCTGTGACTCATTTTCTTTGTTACTGATGTGTTAAGCTACATTTAACTTCCATCATGGCTCAAGTCTTCTTCTCAGTATTTTTGTATACTTTGTCCTCAACTCTTTGGTGCCAATGAATATATACTTTTACTGTAGACCAGGTAATCACTTGCAGAGAATGTCATGGATTCATCCTGTTGTTCACATCTTTTTTCATCCATTAGTAATTTCTTTTGCTCTAAGATGCTCCTTGATTTTATGAAAAGTTTTTTTTTTTCAATACATTGAAAGACAGTTTGACAAAATCTCATACAGTCTAACAGCATTTGCCAGCACATTATTTTCTCAAGGGATGACATAAACCTTTTAACTTGTACAGGTGCATCTGAGTTAAGTATAATATCACTGAAAAGTTAATTTGTTAATTTCAAAAGTGAAACTCATATATTACATAGATCTTTTGCAGACTGAGTAATATATGTCAAGTATTAATTTAATGATCTAGCTTCCATCTAATGAATATTTAAAAGGACCAAATAAAGAAAGGATTTTAAATACATAAATGTAACGTTAAAATCACAATATTGCTTTTCCTTTCATGTTCACCAGACATTCACTGACGGTGAACCACTAAAGGTCATAGCTAAAGAAGCTGGTGTTCACACTGTCTGTTATAGATAGGTAAGTGTGGAAAAAGATGAGGTCAAAGAAAGTACACAAGCAACAGGGATAAGTAACAGACCAGAGAGGATTGTCCGGCAAAGTTATTTCAAGACTTTGGGAACCATTCACTAGGCATGAATGCACATGCAGACACAGGGCATGTAAGTTCAGAGAAACATCTGGGCCAGAGACCAAAGTGTGTGTTGGAGTGAATGCTACTGTGACAAGACAGTCACAATGATAGGTTCAATAGGTGTTGTTTTGGGGTTTTATAGACAGATGAGAGAAAAAAAAAATTAAACAAAAAAAATAATAATTGGTGAAATTTTGTTAAATGAGACCTTGATCCTTTCAGTGTTGGTGTGTTTTATGAATATACTATGTCAACCTATGCTCAAAAAGGTTACAACATCAAATTACTTTTCTCGCAGGACGTTGAGGAAAACATTTGAATTTTCATTAGCTGTGAGCCATAATCACAAAATTCACAGAAAAAAAGGTTTTACTTTTTGAATTAACCTACACAAATAAATTAACTTTTGATGATATTCTATCTTTTTTAGATGCATTTGTAGATAACAAACATGATGTTGGACCACATTCTCTGTTACAAACAGTTCTCCTAGCTTTTTGTGAAAGACATCATCCCATTCTCTTAAAAAAAAGATTCAGACCACATTTTACATCATCTCTTTTAACCATCATTATTGCAGTGATGCTTTTATTGGCTTCTCTTAAAAATTCAACTAACTGACCTCAGGCGGTAGATAAATTAGCAGCCAAGCTCTTCAATAACATTAAAAGCTCATAATTTTACAAGGTACATGCTGTCTCTGGATTCATTAGAGACTAAGGAAGAATTTTGATCAAATTAATGAGCTACATAGTTTCTACATAAATTGTTGCTCAGAAACCATGAAACAAGGAACCAAGATCCAGAAAGATGTTATTCTGCCTTCCTCAAACCTTTCACACATGGTTAATTTGAGTACATGGACACTGAAAATCTCTTTCTAAATCTGAAATCCAACAAACAGTCCAACTTGTTTTATCAGTGTAAAAGACTAGCACTGATTTTTCTCTTATCACTAAATATCTTATTTATCACAGTTCATGTCTTTGGGAATGTAGACAAACACTTGCTGCTTCAAAGACAACATACAAACATGTCCTGCTCTTATAACATCTAAAACAAGATATCAAATAAATTGACATGATCTTGACATAGTCACGTTTTTATCTCATAAGTTGAAAGCTTAGGCTGCAGAGCTTTTATGGTGGATCAGTTGTTGGTCATGAACTGTACTTTATCAGATCCCCAGGAGGCACCAAGTTTGCACCATGAGGCAGAAGCTGAGATGCTTTGTTGCAAGTTAAACATTATAAGAAAAGTTGTTTTGTATTTTTTGTAGAATCTAGACATATGCTTGTATGGTTGTTGCCAAATATCAGGAGTCTTGGGTGTGGAGGGATCTTCTCAAAAGTCGTAGGGTCGGACCATCATTGAAGTGGAACGCAGGGAGTAGCTGGGGCCTCTGAAGTGGTGCCACTTAATGCCGTTGAGCTTCCTGATGTTGTGCCCAACTGTGTAGTAGATCCCATTAAGGTTGGAGAAGCCACAGGCATCAAACCACCAACCTGCATGGAGAAAGAGCATGATACAAAATAGAACTGGGTACAAAAAGAAAGAAGAAAGATTTTTGCAAAGATTCTAATAGTGATGACATAAAACAGAAAAAAATAGATATTAGGAGAGAAGGACAATTTAACTTTTTTTATTGAGGACCACCCTGCCCAAATGCTTACTTCTAAAGAAGTCCAATTAGTAGCAATTAAGAGTAATTTATGCTTGGCAGCATGGCATTATTTGGGTACTAATCTTTCCCAGAACAAATGATTAAGACTGAAAGGTATTCAGTTCGACTGAATTATTGTTTTTATTAGGCGAGGACTTCATCTGTTTCATTGTGGTTATTTTAGCTGAAACGTTCTGCGGGCACTGGAATCTCCATGTGCAGCACTTTGGCCAAATACAACATGAATACTGGTGCTTCAGCCCTAACATAATTTTGGTTTGGAATATTTGCAGGGGCCTACATGTCTGTCTTCATGTTAATTTTAGGTTAGAAAGCAGCTCAGGAGTTGCAATGGTCCATTGACATGGATGTGAGTGGTTAAAACCAAAGCGTGCCCATGGCAGTATTGTGTGCTGCTTGGGGGCCTCAACCATTTTCTCCTTAAGGACCCCATAAAAGCTTTGTCTGGCTCTGGTTTAATAAATGGCTTCATCTCAAAGGTTTATTGGATGAAGTAGCTACTCTAATAATGGCTCTGACATTTAATCTCTTAGTATAAAATAAAATCTTGAATCGATGGGCATGAGCTGAAAAACTTTACTCTTGCATCAGTTTTTGCAAATATTGAATCTTTCTGTCTTCCTCTGTTTACATCACTGTCCTTGTTTCACCCCAGTGATTCAGTTTCACAAAGCTTTTCTTTTTAACTGAATGTTTAAAAACCAGATCCTTAATCAAGTGTTCTACTTTCTGTTTTCCATTCAGGCCCAGTAAAGTTTAAACAACTGCATGAGCCCCACTTAA